ACAGGGTCTACTGGTCTACAATATTCAAAACTATCTTTTCAAATTTTGCCGGAGGCACTGATACATACTACTGTGTTCCTCTATTTTATTAGTTGAATCGATTTTCCAGTAGACCAGTTAGGTCAATCGATGTCGAGTAAGAGTATAAGTACTTTTACGATTAACAAATGATAGGGGCATTTGATGTCCTTGAATTTTTCAAATATCTGCAGTAATCAGGAAATTTGGGGCTCTTACTGATAGAGCTATTCCGTCTCTGCTCTACATCTACTAGTTAACTTTTCGTGTGACCGTCGAGAAGTTATCGACTGAAAGCTCTATATACAGGGTGTTTAAGAGTTATGGGACATACACCTAGGGGATATTCCGCTCAGTAATACAAGGGGAAAGGGTCACATGATGCACATGATGGGTCGGAAAATGCTGAGTTTTCCATCAATTGCTCAGAAACGCTTTACCTCACTTCAATGATGTTTTCACGGATCGTTTTAATAATTGATTACTTCATTGAATGAACTGATTATTCAAATTCGATTGAGAATTTCCATGGGGCCTATCCAGCTATAGTAAGCTGGTTGTATTTTCGCGGAAAAAAATATCACCCTGTAGATCTCTTGCGGTTTCGTGGTTATATTGTATATTATGATGATATCGACATCTAATTTTAAACTACTGTTTCACCTCAATGTAAGTCAACTTTTGGTTTTTATAATATGTATATTTGCAGATGCCATTCCTTGTAGTAACTTCTAAATACGGCTGAAGATGAACTCTCATAAGTCCGAAAGTCCGAAACATGTTTCCTTGATTGATTTACATCAGTAATAAAGTGGTGGAGATGAGTTTGAGATTTCCTTCTTCCTTTTGAAAAAATCCACTTCATTTTGAGCAAACATGGACTTCTGCCAGATATTAGATACGAAGATGGTTAACTTGGAGAAGAGTTGCGCATTTTCAAGTCGAACAATATGCCGTTCAGAAAGTTTTTGAAATTCCGACAGGTTCCGGAGATACATGCATATAAAAATTAAAAACCGTAATTTTTCGATTTCGTTTTTATTTTTGCCACTTTTCAGGGTATACTTTTTTACGGGGTATAATATAATCGGAGATTCACGAAGTGGGCGACATCTATGTTATATAATACGAACTTCAAACTGGGGGAAAACAAACTGTTGTCTATGGATAAAGTGCATAGACTACATTGCATTCAGCTTGCTGTAGATGTAGTCAAACTTGTCAATGACATAAAGGTTGGCACTGTTGGTAGTGATGATGGTTGAGTTGGTTAATTTTTTCACATTTTCATTAGTTTAGTGAACAGTGAACGGGTGAAGAATTGGAGATAGTTCAAACAATTCAAACTAATTATGACGAGCAAATCAATTGACATATAAAAGAACAGCTACAACATGTTTACAATACCCAGATTGTCCTGCTTTGCATGGACAAATACAAATCCATTGTTCTACAGGAGTTCCTCTGGACCCCAACTTCAATTTTACTTCATGTGGAGGAGATTTCATCGCCGAAGTTTGTAGACAAAGTGCCAAAATGTGCCTTTTGTTGAAGTCTTCTGCCTCACACAAAATCACATGATTAGCACGGAGAACTGCTTCTCCTTCCACTACTGGTAGGCTTTTTCTATCTAAATAGAGCAAATCTGCCATTATTAGCGTTTTTGATCGAATATTGACAATTAATGTCAAGAAATTTGAAAACTTATCACTCTTATCAGTACACAGTACACAAGCTAATGGCACTAATGGGATTGAGTGAGGATTGAGTTTGTTTTCCCCCAGTTTTGACGTGGCTTTGACATGGAACGATGAAAACCGAGCGCCACCTGGTAACATTGATTCCCGCGAATAAGGAAATAAAGTTGATGATGGTTTCTCCGAAACGAAACGTCGTAAGGAAATACATTTCTCAACGCTGTTTTCTAAAGCTCAAAAAGTGGCAATGGAGCAACTCCAAGATGAAGGAAATCCTGACGGAAAAGGTTCAGGACAGCTGGAGGAAGGCTCCTCGAATGAGGCAGTCCAAACTCCATATAGGAAACCCGTCACGAAGACAGACCAATGCCCTCTTGGCTTTGAACAGGAAGGAGCTGAAACTGGTGGTGGGCCTGCTGACAGGGCACTGCCACCTGAACAAACATCTCAGCATGATCGGGATTGTGGAGGATCCAGAATGCAGATGGTGCCTAGAGGATGAAGAGACTTCTACTCACATCCTCACTGAATGCCCGGCAATAGTGGCAGCAAGGGATATCCATTTTGGGAGCAGTATCCTGGACCCAGAGGATGTTAAAAAGATTTGGCCTAGGAAGTTGGTCTCTTTTGCTCGCGAGATCGGCCTTCTCCATGGCTGACTTGCGATCCCAGGAATGTGGGTGCACAATGGGCCCGAAAAGGGAGGCCTAAGTGCGTCAGGTCCCGGACCGCCCACACACATACATACATACATACATACATACAGTGGCAATGGAGAAGTGTTGTTTGTTTTCCTATATCTCTTCAAATAACGTCAGAAAATGATAGAAATCGTTTGTTTTTTCGGTTTTTCAGGCATATATCTCTGGAACGACTCAGAATTTTGAAACTTTCCTAAAATTGTTATATAGGCTTGAAAATGCGCAAATTTTCTCCAATTCAACCATCTTCGTATCCCTTATGGTTTCCGAGATTCCCATGATAGATACCCTTATTTTGGACACACTGTATATACCCTGGATGCAAGACGTTGATTGGTCCTGTATGTTTTCTATGTATGTTTTCTATGTATGTTTTCTATGTATGTTGGATAAATAGTTACACTTCAGTGTAGGTTTTCATGAATCACAGCATAGTTCGTTAAATGCTTCATAGTGGGCGAGTAAGTCGCAACTTTGTTACAATTCCTTACAATTTGCATGATTTATATCGTCGCCGCTTTTTTAACCTCAATATAAAAGCCGTAAACGTCAATTAGCTTTCTTTAATGGCTAATGCCGATTGTATGTTTTTGAAATTTAATTAGCTCGCTTTTGAGACAAACATAATTGGCTAATTTTCTGTATACTTTTTCGAATAACGATAAGTAATTATTTTTAATTTGCAATTACATGATACAAGCACTTAAAAACCTATACGGCTACATATATATAGGTACAGAGTGCATCATTAATATAGTAAAAAAAATTCAAGGGTATAGATTTCTTGCAAAAAAATGAAAAATATTCCAATAAACTTTTTACCAAAGACCCGTATTTTCGAAGATATATACTTAGATGTGTCAACTTTTTTGAATGAGGTTCATCCAACTTCTTACATTTTTGGAAACATGTTAAAACTTTCATATTCCTATTGATGTTAAAAGAAAAGTTCGAATTGCGAACATTTTATTGTGAGAACAACTTCAAGTACCTATTATATTCGTCAATACAAGGTTTTCAGGTATACTCTCGGGTATACCTATTTCTGTTCGTGTAGAATCTTGCGGAATACCTCGTCCTTCGGTTGTTTTCAGCATAAGTGATAGGTGGGTACTTCTGGGTACTCATTGAATGATCTGGAACGTCGTTTCGAATACCAGCGCGTATAATTTGAGTTGAGAGAGAGAACATCTTTATTAGGGATATACCCCAAAAGGCCATTGACCGAAGTCTTTCAGCCCCGTGAGTTGATATATTGCGCATAATCTGATTAGACCAGTTTGCACTGAAGTAGCAAATTCTCAGACCAAAGCCGCAATTATGAATTTGCTTTAGGACATTTTGCAATTTTCTTTTATCCATTAATGCAGTGATAGCAATCATAATATTTGCGTGTGTATACATGTTGACGCTACATATAATTAGGGCTGCTGAAACGAAAAAAAAACATGTATATAGGGCGTTTCCTAGGTAGGTATATAGGAATATTTGATATTTCATGGAGTTCGTATAAACATTTGGCGAAAATTGGCTCCTACAACGAGCTAAACCTATTGCTTGATATACCCCAGATCGATATATTCGAATTAGTAATTGTCTACTCTTGTTGTTTCGGAATAATGGAAAACATACAGTCTTCAGGACTTTAGTGTAGGTACAGAATTTACAATTCGGGTAGCTCCTTCTGGACTCAAATTGTCGATCAATGTTAAAAAAAATGTCTAGACATTATCACACAAAATCAGTTTCTAAATTTTTATTTAATTATAAAGCATAAGAAGTTCATGATAATATATATGACTTGAAAGCAATTTGGTTTGTAATGTAGAACTCACTCCCGATCTGAAATCGTATATGTTTTTCTTCAACCGTCCAAAAACTTTGTCCCTTCAGGCCTCAGTTCATGATATTGAAATTTGACAGAGGCAAATTAGTGTTTTTAGGCAGGAATAACATGTATACAAAAGTAGTGTTGCTCGACAAAAAACCGTTGCTATGTAAAAGTAGCGTTGGTGGGCAGAAGTAGCATTGCTAGGCAAAAATGAACTTGCTTAGTAAAAGTACCATTGCAAGATGAAAACAGCGTTGTATAGGTAGAAGTTGCTTCGCTAAAGTGGAAATAGTGATACTATAGACGAAATAACCGTTGCTACAGACAAAAGAAATGTTTTTAATCAAAATTGCTTCGAAAGACGTTGCTAGGTAAATGTAGCGTTGCTAAGCAAAAGTTTCATTTCTAGTCGAGCATTGCTATAATATAAGTGACTTCGGAGTTGAAGTACTTCACTTATTGTAACTTCATATTATACTGTCAACTAACAATCTTCAATCGCTTAAATTATCTCCAATTCGACAGAAAATATGTTTTGTGGATACTTAATTTCAAGAAATTACTCGCTCATCGATCATTTTTTATCATCTGTCAGTCGAACACTAATCAAAATTACCTTGCACCAATATCGCTGCCAACTCACACTCCTGTTTGCATAAACACAAAGTACCACCTATTGAAATTATCTACATTAAATATAATAATTTCGCACCGTACTAATTACATATTTTCATTCGTGAGTTTTCTTTCCAGGCTTGAACACGGCTAGCTATCGCACTTCACTTCAGCACTTATAGTATAGGTCCAGTAACGCGAAGTGCGGTAAAGGACTTGGCGTTGGACACAGTGCGCCTATACAATTACCAGGCAGCAAGTAAAGGACGTGAACACATTCGCATCAGCATAAGTGAAGGACTTGCTGCGTACTGTACGGGAAGGTACCTAAAGGGCTGAACACGCTCAGTGAAGGACCGAGTACAGGACCCAATAAAGGACTTAGAAAGTTTCTTCTGCGGAAATAAAATCGTTTCATGGATGGGGAAATGGATCTGTCGACTAGGCCTAGAGGGGGGGAACAGCAGGACCATGCGTGCAAGATGAGAGTGGCGAAATCGGTATTCTCCATCAGGAGTTTGGTGGACGTCGAGGAGAAGATTGGGGGAGAGGAGGAGAGTAACGGAGAATTACTTGGTGGTGAGTTTTTACTTTTCTCTTGATGTGTTTTTTTCAAAATAGAGAGTCGAAAACAATATTGTCTTTCAAAGGTTCGACTCCAAATGACAAAATAGCTCCGAAAACTTACATTGATGTCTATTTATAAACAATAATAAAGATCATGCATGACAAAATTCAAGTATTAGGTACAACGAGAAATCTCATAACAGTACCTATATAGTCGGAGACTACAAAAAGAAGAACCAGTAATAGCAGTAAAAATACACATTTTTTTCTCAAAACTGGAGAGATATTTCTCTCCGTCTCGCTAGATATATTTGTCTCTCTAATATCATTGATGTATAACTGTAAATCTACAAAAAAAACTATACAATATCATCTCTCTTTTACTTGGACTCTTCTTTTAGGTGTACGTATATGTAGGTTCTATATTATAGTCTCCCTATAATGAAACTCATTTTCATTTTAGCTGTGACATATTTTTTCGCCTAGGTAATACCATAATATATGAAAATGAATCATAGCAACCCTAAAAATGTGACCGAATGTGTCCCTTGGGCTGCTAAATTCATAACAACACGATTGTGTAGTTTTCACTATCTAGACACATTTGACTGTCTTGCATCATGCGTATTTTGACGATACACATAAATTTTCAGCGAGTGTGAAACAAAGTATTGAATTAAGAAGTGCATTTCTGCTATTATTTTTATTTTACTTTGGCCAGAGATCAGGTTTCAGCATCAACTTCCAAACTGGCGCCTATAATTTCTTATAGTAGTAATTGATATCCGAACTTAGGGTCGAGCTAAGGGTACCATCCTATCCGAAATTAGGAGAGCATTTTTCATATACCTAGTAAAAAGTGTACGAGTTTTTTTTTTTATTCCAGAATTTCATGCACAATAAATGTTTTGTTCATTATATCATGTTTAATTACATATTGACCTGTGTTATAGGGCAAAAAAAGTAGATCACTAGGGTCCAAAACGAAAATTTCGAGCACTTTCAAAAGCTATCCGGAAATTGGCGACTTTCCTTATGATGTGTACCTATACACAAGTAAGTATTGTATACCAAAATGCTGTAGTTTTCACGAATACTCTTTTCATAAGAGAAAATTAAGTATATATCTAAATACAGTTTTTGGACACTGCTAGAAACGTTGTTTTATGCCCGGGCGCTAGGTATATCCATTGATTCATGGCATTTGAACTCATTGGATATTTTTATTAATAATTGAAATTGCTGAGATGTATTTATGACGAGATCGATCTATACAGTTGATTGGAATATTCCTCGGAATATTCTTGCATTTTTAATTATAACTTCATGAAATTAGTGCAAATCATTATATTTTATATAGACTAACGTGATCTATACGTTTCCATTATAATATAATATATAATAGCGTCACATTGCCAATTAATAATATTTACAAAGCTGCTAATTTAATTGTGCAATTATGTAATTTGCACGAAATTTCCACTTTTTTTGATAATTACATCACTAATTAAAATCTCGTTTTGTTTTTAATTATCTCTTATTAAACGTCACTGTTTTTGCAAAAAATACTGTACCTATAACAAATTTCATTTGAATATAATTCAATTTTCTTATTATCCATATTGTACATGAGAACTGAAATATTCCTATTGCAATTTCCGTACATTAATCAAACATAATCACAACATCATAATTTTCTATCCTTGATATTGGGTAGATACTTATGTACGCTTGGAATTCGAATTAAGTTATGATAATCGTCCTCTCTTCATAACATTTAATATCTGCAATGAACATAAATATGCGGAAAACACAATTTCTAGTAATTATTGGAAAGTAAATGGTTGTGAGATAAGGTTACATGAAGTTAATCATACATCCTTTTATAAATGCATGAATATCAGATTTATCAATTATATTAGAAGCGATTTAAACAGTTAGCAAATATTTCTAATGTGAGTGAAGCGTTGTCGGCTCAATTTTGGAACACCCTGTATACATACCGGGGTACAGGTATCCAATATTGATATCTCATTCCGTGAATAATATTTTTTTGAGAATATATTAATAAGGAACAATTTTTTATCGATACTTCCACGGGAAATGTTCTTCGGAAATCTCTGCTATATCACTCCTTCACTAACAATACCAATCATACGAACTAGACAAGCCCAGTCAGCACATCCTTTCGTTGTCAACCTCGAAAGATGTCGAACAGCACTTTATCAAGACTCCTTCATCCATAGAACGGCTAGGCTCTGGAATTCATTGCCTGTGGAAGTATTCCCAACAACATAGAATTTCCAAAAGTTCAAAAAAAAACTCCAATACCTACCTCCTGTCCCTATCCTCCCTAGGAACGCACGATGTTCTTTGAACATTATAGGGATTCCCTTTCGTGCGCTCCAAGCGATAAAAAAAAAGTAACTGGGTATACTCTAGGAAGAAGGTTCATTTCGACCGAGTTAGGTTAGATTGTTAAGAAAAAGTTGTCTCCTTTATACAGTGTGTCTCACTTCTAATGGAAACACCCCTCTGTATCTTATACGTAATTGTTGGGAAAGGATCCTGAAATTTGCTGGAGCGAGAGATATACCAAAAAATGCACCCTATGACCAGGTGGAGTTATCTTCACTTCACTGCTCGCCAACAGCAATGGAACCACCCCAATTTCCGGAAAATGATATTAGGAGTCAAAATAGGTTGAAAATCACTTCGGATTCGGAATCAGCATGCACGCCCAATTCACTAAAAATTCATATTTTTCCTGACAATTCTTCATTTCTGAAAATTCCATTTTTGTGGAATTTGCTGGAGCGAGATTTACAGAAAATGTAGTCTTTAATCAAATGGAGTCATCTTCAGTGACACACATGTCCGGAAAATAATATCAAGAGACAAGATGAGGTTGAAAATCACTTTCAATTCGAAAACAGGACGTCCAATTCACTTACTCCCCATATTTTGACGTATTATTATCGGTAACGGTAACGATTTTCTCCATACTATTTCGAATTCATTCATTCATAATTCATAACAATGAAACCCGTTATGATTTCTGATCCATTGGATCACTCCTGATAATCTATTCAATTGTACTAGTTCTGATTGTTATTTCATCATTAGGTACTGATGAGAACTGACTTTATGATTATCAATTTCAGAACAACCATCATGTGAATTTTCCGATTTAATAAATTTTTCCTCCTGGAATGTCGGTTATTCTGTGGCTGCTGGTAAGCAGCGTATCATTGAAGATGATCCTTCTTGGTCATTGGTTTGTTTCTTGGTCCTAAAAATTCGAGACTGCTACATCAATAATCAGTTAAGATACTATAGGGTGCTTCCATGAAGAGTGAGAAAGAATTTATTAATTCAGAACTGAAAAATTTTCAGAAGGTATATGAGTGGTTAGTGGTTAGTGAATGGGCTTATGTATATGTATTCAACTATAATATCTATCCGAAACTACACTTTAAACAAAACAAAAGAATCATTGGACCGTTTAGGCTTGAAGTAAATGATTTTGTTAAGTCATTCATTGATTCGCCCAGAAATAATGACATCAAGTCAAATGGCGGTTTACTGATAAAAAAGTAATCGATGAATGACAATGATTGTAGTTTTTTGATTCGTAGGAAGTTCACTGACGAAGTTGAAAACCAAACAATTTAACAGTCGAAAGGCAATTCGGAATATTACAATGTGACTGATGAAAACTGTATTTTCAGGGCTTCCATTGTTGGGCCTCAAGGCTATGTTTTCAAAACAAATGCCTATCGGTTTTATTGAAACGCCTCATAGAAATATTAATTTTTTTTGTGTTGAAACTGGACATTAAACACAGGAGTGTTTCCAAAATTGGTGCAATAAATGAAAGGGACGATATTAGACGAAGAAACAAAAAGAAATGGAAGAAAACATTTTTGTCAAAAAAAATTGGAAGATATTTAGCTTCAAAGTTTGCCTGAAACATTTGTAAATCATTGATCAAAAGTTGACTTTTGACTTTTACAATGTTGCCAGACGTTCAATAATAAATAGAAGATGTAGTATGGTGGTAGCGCACATTTTTTGAAAAATGTTCAAAACTTTTTTTTGTAATTTATCGTGTTATTAATAATAATAATAATAATAATAATAATCCAAGAGATTCAATTTTTGGAAACATGCTGAAACTTTGAAATTTTTATTGATTTTTGAAATTTTTATTTGATTTTTTTTTAGAGTAATCATAGGTTCTTAAAAACACAAAGCATTGGCTGGGCCAATTTCACACAACGAGAACTGGGATGCCGAAATCTTCTATGTTTGATATTTGTACGCATTTTTATTGAATACGACTGTACACCTCATTTTGTTAATCGCCCCAATTTCCGAAACACCCTGTATAACTGACCTATGTTCTAGTGGGCTTTTTTTGTCAGTCTGTATATATAACTACGAGTCCTCAAAAAATGTGTACCAGAACTAACACCGATTAATAGGGACTGTTTGCCTTATTTTTATGCAAAGATTACGCCCCCGAAAGGATGCCGGTTACTTTTGAATCACCCTGTAAATCCAAAATATTTATCATCGAGATTTGTCGAACAATTCTTCATCAAGACTCTTTTGTCTATAGAACGGTCAAACCAAGAAATTTTATGGCAAAAGTAGTAGTTAATCTTTGTTAGTTTGTTAGTCCATATTGCTCAAAGTGATGGAGTGGAATTGTCAAAAGAAGGAAGAAAAGCTCGAAGTCATCACACAATTTAATGACGTTGTTAACAATCAGGGACATGTTTCGTTCTCAGAAAAAACCATCTTCAGCCTTATAATAAGTTCTACAATACAAACAGGATTGGTGTGACGAACAAAAAGTATTTTTGGTCAACTCACTTGGAGTTGAAAAAGTTTTATAAAGTTATCTAGTTCCAAGAACTTGAAGTCCTATCCCTATCCTCCCTATAGGTAGAGTCACTCGATCTCCGATATGCTCTAAGGCTTTAATTCTAAATTCACTTTAACCT